ATTCCTGGCCTAGGTTTATTTGAGACTTCTTAGCACTCTGGAAGAAACTACTGCTTGGGCTAGTTTAGATTTTAGAATCTTGCTTGGACTATCAAAATCTGTCTCTTCAAGGTCCCAAGTCTCCCATGCAAAAGTTACTCAATTCAGTTATTCGAATCAAGAGTTTTTCTGGRCTAGGCATAAGTTGGGCGGGAGGTTTGTTGCTGGTCTCAGTGCCCCATAAGGGCTGTTACTGGTGCCGTTTCCCTGGGTGCCTCGAAATGCCCTGCTCTGTATTCTGCTGGAAGCAGAAASAGAGAAAGTTGTGTGAAAGGCAGTTTCATTCCTTCCATCATATCCTGATGGCCATCCAGCAGGAGCAGAAACGCAGCATCAATTCCAGACCAGCAGCACAACTGTGGGGATGCAGACCACATCTGGAAAGTGTTGGATGGGCGAGGAGAGGAGCCAGCAAGGCAGCGAGAGGAACCGCGGCACCTGGGGTCATTCAGTGGAGCCARCTGCAGAGCAGTGGAACCAATTGGGGATGTCCTTGTGTGAAACTGTCTGATAAGCATCCTCGTGAGCAGAAAAGATTATTTTAAATGGCCTTCAATGAATCAAAAAGATAAGTGATTGGAGTTTTACCTCATGATAAAAGGAGTGGACAGGAAAACGCAGGGGATATGAAAACCAGACGATCACTTGGTGCCCTTCTGGTGTGAAAAGAGAGCTGTAGTCCCACCTGATCTTAAAATAACAGTCTGAGAAATCGTTACTTCTGCTGATGTCTAAACCTGAGGCAGCATCGAATTCATCAATATGGTTTACAGAAGAAATTTAAAATTCTGGAAAGTCACACAGGATAAATAAAATTCAAGTGATCTTTTTGATGATCTTATTTGTGTAAAAAGGCAAAGAAATGGAGCAAAAATGTCTAGATTTGAGTTTTGTGAAGCGGAGGGCTTCTGGTTTTGCTGCAGGGAGAGCTGACATAATTGCCATCATCACCATTTGATAATGATGAACCATTTTACATGCTCCTAGTAATTAATGAAAATGTAAACAACCATGACTGGTGGGTGAACATTTTTTATTCAGTTAATTAGCATCCAAATACTTAATCTAGTCTATTAATTGAGACTGCATATGTATTTACTCATTTTTAGTATACTTTAGAAGAATAATGTAAAAGTAAATTGCTTGAATGCAAGCTGCAGATACTGTGGTCAATAATTAAAATCAATCACCCTTTTTGGTTTTCATTTCAGTTATTTAGGTAAATATAACCAGGTTGGTATGATATCAGTCTTAGGCAAAGTAATACATAAGCTCATMGTGGTAGCCCTTTCAGAAAGAGGTAATTAATGCCCTACAGCCTGAGTTTGTGGGAAGCTGGGCAGTTGCACTGGTTGGAGAGACCTGCCTGCAGGGATCTGACACAGCACAGCCCTCCAGTCTCGAAGGCAACAGCACTGCAATATCTCAGGCCAGAGAATTAGCAAAAGTGAGTTCTTTGTAAGCAGTTTTCTTGATGGACATTGTGCATTTAGTCACATCCATAAGCTGCCCATTCTCATTTTCCTTTTTGCAGCTTATTGTAGAAATGGTCCTTATAGGCAAAAGAGAARTATATCAAATTGCAGCTGGTTTGTAAGCTTCACTTCTGCTTTTTTTTTCCTCTTGCAAGGTTGATGGTAGCAACAAGAAAAAATGTCTAAATGTACTAAGGGTCCAAGCACCTTCCTCCTCACTGGAAAGGTTGTTGGGCTTTACTGCAATTCCTTACATCTCTGTTTTCCTAAAATGGCTGTTGATCAAGTACAAAATTGAATTGCTTTTAAAAAAATCTTATGTTTTTTGCTAAATTCTCATAAAAGTACTTGAATTTCTTGCATTGCAGTCTAAAAAATTGGATTATTCTATGTTTTATGCATACTGACCTTTTGAAGATGATTTACCCTGATTTCATTGCAGAAATTGAATGATTTTCTGTAGCTGTTGTTCTTGCATTTGAAAATGCTAATAAATATTTTAAACTTTTTTTTGATGATTCTTCTATGCCAGCTTAAATTGATGAAAACATAGATCTCTATTGAAAAACTCCTTTCTGTTGTTTTGCATTATTATAATTAGAAATGCAAATATGCCAGTCTAAGTTATGGCTATCACTTATTAAATTTGTTTCAGGATAGCAAAGCAGTTTTTGCTACTAAATTTTATTGTGCCAATTTGCCATTGGCCAGTGTTTCAGTTCAGTGGTTGAAAAATGGAAATTGGGTGTCCTGGCTCCTGGGGTGATTAATCCCCACCTATACAGGTAGGCCTGGTGCCTACAGACTCAGGTTCCATGGGTGGGGGCTGTAATCTTTGCCAATCTGAGATTTAAAGCTATAAAATCTATAGGTTTACCAGTGAGAGTAAGGCTGATGAAAGCTTATCTGATATTCTGTTCTAGGTGCTGTGCCAAATTAATCTTAAATGTTTGGAGAAATCAAAAATTAATACTCCCTTTCAGGGTGTAGTGGAAGATGTTTTATGTGTTCTTGTTTCCATAACTTGTCATTCAAAAAATGGCTTATGAAGTTCAGGAAAATCAGGATCCAACACTGTGCCTATTCCCTTAAAGACTTCCAGTCCTSAAGACTTTAGGGATTATCATTGGGAAGGATTATTAGGGAAGGAGTGTGAGCACTGCCTTGGTAAAACTGGTTTGCAGAGAACTCCTAACTGGTGTCGCAGAGCTGCTGGGAACCTGTACTCAGGTATAAGCCATTACTGTAGAATAAGAAGCAGAGCTGCTCAGAATTAGGGAGCTTGAACATGGGTTTTGTTGCTTGAAATGTAACATGAAAAAGAATGAACAACTTGGAATGCTCTTCAGTGGAAATGAAACCTTTTGAAGGTTAGACACTGTCAAAATGGTACCTGAAAAAATATACAAGATCAAAAGCTAAGCTTGAAATGAGAAACATTAGTTTTTAGATGTTCTGAAGTCATAAAGTTGAGGAGTGACTGGTTGGAAGAAGCAAAAAGCTGCAGGCACCTTACACTAAAACTCATTTATAAATATATACAGTGGCATAAATTGAGTAATACCTGTCAGCCAGCCCCAGCGGAACAGAATGTAATTCTGGGATTAATTTTAACACATCTTGTAAAAGAGAAATAGATTTGATGCTTCTTCCTTGGAGTTGTTAAATACCCGGTTGTGCTGTGTTCTGATACCTTGCCTGTTCCCACTTGTGGATTAATTTATTTTCAGTTGGTGGAGGTTGATAATTAGCTTGTTATAAACGATCTAATGAAAGTGAGTGTTATGAGTGCAAAGTGGGCTCCCTTTGAGAGATATGCTGCCATTTATATGTAAGTATTGGCATTTCTCAATGTATTAGCAATTAAACTTCCTGATCCTCTTGCAGTATTGATGTTTCAGATGCTGTCAGAGCTCTTCTGTTGCTATCGTGCATGTAGGTTTCCCAGGTGAGAAATAACGAACTGTGGATTAAGGACATGCTCCACTGTGTGATGCTGCCAGCCAGGTTCTCCCCTGACCTGCCTGGCAGAGGATACTACAGAGTGCACTTACTTTTACCCTCAGTCACTTCGGTCTTTCTTTTTTCACATGTGCTAGAGACTGAAATTTAATAATATGAAACCTTGGCAGCAGTTTGCTTCTCATTCCAGTTTCAAAACTGGAAGAAAAAAACGATGTCTGAAAATATTTCCAAAAACTGAGTTCCGTTTCCACTTGGGTTTGCAGCTGAAGCTTTTAATTTTTACTGATGTTTGTGCAAGTCAGATATGAACTGCTGTCAAAATCAGTAGGATGATGAGATATCCTACTTAAAAAAAAAAAGGCAAACAAGGAAAATACAGAAAAATATAGAAAATATTCTCTCTGCTTCTTTTAGGTTATAGGAAGCTTCAAGTATTGTTATAACAAAATAAACAATTTGCAGAGATCAGCGTGGGTTTAAGTTGATTTGCTCCATTTACCATACCAATTTTGACAGAAGAATGCAATGCTTTCTTGGAAATGTCTTTCAAATATTACATTATAGATTAATTTATAGGTTGCAGAATGTTGTTAACCATGATTTTTTTTTCTCCATCTTGAAAATTAAGTTTTAAAATTAAATGTGTATAAGAGCTTGCCTTCTCTCTTTCAGTAGTTCACCAAAGATAAATTGGGAGAAGTTTATTTAAGTTTCAAAGAAAAGCATCCATTTACAGTGGAAAAAATATCTAAGATTTACGGAAAAATACCATGATGTTTTTCCTATTTCCCTTTCATTGGTGAAACAGCTTTAGTAAATCTTGTTCTATAAAATTAGTGATTTAGCTAATTTTCAGACTGTTTGACTTTTTAGGCTTGTCTTAGAGAAGCTATTTGCAAACATACAAAAATACCTGAGAAAGTCTGACTGATGGAGTTGTGCAAGAGAAGTGCACAACTTTAAATCATGTTAGTGAATAATAGATTATTAGGTAGCAGATGAATAGATGATGTTTCAGAGTGATTATAGCACTTCAAGACACTTATTTCAAGCTTTCAAGGTATGCACTTGTATCTTTTCTTATTGTATGGCTTTATTCCATGAAGAAAGACACCTTGTTGCTTGTGATTTATTTTTACAATGATGGTGTATATAGAGGTGTCAAAACACGGGCAATAGCTTCTGATGCATGGGCACTGGCACTCTGATTTTTGTGGGCTTTTTTTTGTGTTGCTGAGGAAGATAAAGTGGTTTGTGAGGAGAAGTGTAACTTCTCACGTCTACACTTGGTGCTGGCCACCCCCTTGGCCTCTGCACCAGCGGCAGAGCTGTTGACCCTTTGGACTTTGCATTTATTTAGTGGTTGCCTTCCCTTGGGCTAATCCCAGACAGTGATTTGAGCCTCTGCTGACAGATATTTCTTGCTGCTTGACGGGAAAAGGTGATGAAATGCTGATCTACAACAGCACTTTGATGTTGCTGCAATTTTTTCTAACAGTGGATTAAATTTGTCATTCGCAGCTTGTAGCTGTATTTGACGAGCAAGATCCACACCATGGAGGTGACGGCACCAGCGCCAGCTCCACGGGCACGCAAAGTCCAGAGATTTTTGGCAGYGAGCTTGGATCCAACACAGCTTCGGCCTTTCAGCCTTATCAAGCAACCAGTGAAATTGAGGTCACACCTTCAGTGCTCCGTGCAAGTGAGTATGCGTTCCTAGTGTCCCAACACGTTTCATCTTAATTTACAAGGATGCCAAGCACTGTTGTCCATTCGTGCTACTGGGAATATCATTCATTATCTGACTGTCTTGAAAGCTGATCAGAATTGAGAAACTGCATAGATGCATGTTGCACACAAATAAATAAATCTCTCTGCTTTAATAAATTAGTTCTAAGCTGCTTTTAGCAGCAMTAAGCTCTGTGTTCCTAGATCAAAATTGTCCTGCAATGAAAATGATAGCAAAATAGCTAAATGAAGTTGCTGCATGGTGTAGCTTTTAGTTTGCTAACAGTTTATTCTGTTCAATGATGAAGAAAATGGTAGAAAGTAACTAAAAATAGGAGCACTTTCTACTAAAACTTGGAAGATTATACTTTTCACCACTCAATAAAAACACCTGGTCATTTACTGTGTTGTAATTTTTTCTTTTCTTTACCAAAATAAACTATAGCTAGGGAACATCCTTTGATTTATTTCTTTCAAAGTGGAGATTTGTTTCAAAGCTGTGATGTAGGGATTATAAATCTACAGTTCTTTTCCAGGCAGAATCTTTGAGTACTTCAATAAGGGAAAAAGCTAAACAACTACTTACTATGCATTTTTTACTGTCATTAAAAGTAACAAGCAAGTAAGAAAAAGTATTAGGTAAAGCATTGTGCCCCTGTTTATTTATAGCATCTATTCTTTTTTTCACAGAAGCTTTGAAAAGTTTTTTAGGAATATATTTCTGCTTTTTCTGCTTTGYAGGGTTCATTCTTAATCTTTGTTAGATTTCCTTAGCAGTGAATTCTTGCTAGCAGTGATCAGTTAAAAACACACATGGAAAAGTTAGAAAACTCTGTGAAATTCAATGTGTTTTTTTTCCCAGAGGATTCTGTAAAACAGGGAATAGCTTTTTGAAAGTTAGCTTACATATAGACAATCTTTAATTAGGCTTTACTAATTCTATACTAGAATATAGAACTAAATTAGGGAAAGGAGTAATGGCAGGTAAGAGCAAAGAGGATCTGGAACTTCAGGACACGTTTGCTGTCACTATGGTATGCCAATTACTAMATGCGTGTCTGATTTCTATGCACAAGCCAAAAAACTGTCTCCTGAGCTCTCAGCACAGGGTGGTTTTGAACAAACAAATGCATACAAATTTTCTCCTTAGCATGATTATCTGGTATATTATTCAGGACATTGATGTTAGTGCATCAAAATCATACAGCACAGATAAAATTCAGTGATATATTGGCCAGCCCGCTTATCTTMAGTGTCATTCTGGTAAGTACATGTATCTCTTAGTGAGTTCACTGCTTCTTAAAATGACGAGAAATGCTTTGAGACCTTGCAATGAAAAGGTCTTTAGGCATGCAGAAGACTATTAAAAATGTTGGTAAAAATTATAGCTCTTTTGGTAGCTCTTTGTAAAAGCATGCAAAAATAAAACAGGCAGAAGAATTTGTTATAAATATGTTAATATGGATCAAAGGACTTCACCTATCTTTTTTTTTTTCTTTTTTTTTTTTTTTGATGTGCACAATAGAAATATTTTGTTTCTAAATGTTCCAAACAACAGGCTTAGACTCCTAGTCCAGTAATATTATCCCATATTAAATATACCTATTTCAAGAATTTCATTTAAATATACATTGAAAATGGAAATAATATCCCTATTGTATTTCCTTTATAACATGTGAAGCGAAGCACAGCATACAAATGGTATTCTCAGCATTTCAAATAATTATCTTCTTACTGTGTAAGTTCTATTCAGCAAATAAAACCCATCCAGTTTTGTGGTAGATGCAGCTCCTGATTATTACATGTTGACAAGGTCATATATCTATTAATTGGATTGGAGATGGGATACAAAATTGCTGTAATTATTGTAATTTTCTAGCTAATTGTAGGGTTGGCGGTGAATATTTTACTTCTAACAAATGAAAAACAGTATTCCATGTGAAATTGGTTTACAGCGTGGTTTATAAYGTCGTGTTTTGCACGTCGGGTGCTTCTTGCTGCTCTGCGCGCTGGGCGCCGCTCCGCGCAGGCCGCAGGGGCCCTGCGGGCAGCGCGGCCTACATGGCGCTCACCTGCGCCGCCATGTTCGGCCTTGCTGGGCCGCAGCCCAGCGCCTCGGCTGGGGCTGCTTGGGGGCCGCCGAGATTCCCCTCTCTTTGTTCTCGTTGCCACGTTACCCCTTTTGTTTGTTTATGGATCACGCCATCCTTTCTCGCCTGGAAAGGGAAAGGTTAGCGAGATCAGGTCCGCCTGGGAAAGTAATATTCGTCTGCATTCCCTCTTTTCCCATGCACGGCAGAGCCTGTGCTTGGCTCAGCGTGGGGAGGCTGGTGCAAATTGGATCTTGCTGACTAAATGCGGAAATAAAATAGTGCCGGTCCCCTCCCCTGTGTGGCTTTGCATTGTGAAAAGGCGATTCATCCGTACAAGCTCCTCTTTTCTTTGTGCTTCCCATGTACCCCTTTCTTTTACTGCTTTTCTGCTACCTAGGGTAGAGCTTCTTGTTTTTGTGTTTCATGAGGAGAGCTGGATCTTTCCGTAAGCCCACAGCCCAGCGGACGCTTTCGGTGTGTGCCCACRTGCCCTCTGCGTGGGGCTGGGAGCTCACGGGAGAGGATTGTTAAGGCAGACAGATCCTTATTCCCTGCTGAAATATAAACTCGAGGCGCAGGTGAAAATTGCCAAACCTAATGAGCAATTTGGCAGCTAAGACAGGATGTCAGGCAGTGACAGTTCAGCAGCGGGTGCACTGCCTGTGAACCAAGTTGTTTGTTTCACAGCCTTGCATTTAAATATCGTAAATAAAATCTGCTTTCAACTACATGAGATATTGTGAAAACAGCCTTCTCTTTGTCTGGATTTCCTTTTAAGTTATTTAGGTCTATTAAGTAACCAAGGGTGGTCTTAGTTCTTGGGCTTGGTGTGGTGATATGTTTCAAATCTCTCTCTTGCAGCAGTTACAGTTACAAAGCATTTTTAACATGTAATTTTATTTGGGAAAAGTATTGGGAAAGGCAGAGAAAACTATTTTGTTTCACTTGGAAGTAGAGAAGTGTAGGGAGTGGGGGCTTCTTCTTTCTCCATCTGCCTAATGGGAAGCATAGAGACTAGGAAACCAGATGTGCGCAGCGATGGGTCATGGGTTGGTAACCAACATGCGTTACAAAAGGGCAACTCCAAAGAAAGATCTGGAGATAAAAAATGATTGTGAARATTGGAGCAGGTTTTCCGGAGAAGTTGTGCTATCTCCCTCCTTGGAGATGAAGCAGAACTTGACTGAAGATGGCGCTGGGCAGCCTGATCTAAGCTGGCCTGCTTTGTGGGGRGASGAGTTGGGCCAAATGACCTCCAGMGGTCCCTTCCAACCTCCTGTAATCTGTGATTTGGACAATAATTAAGAAATGAGTGTTTGCTTCTTAAACATATTTTTAAGGCAAATGATATTTTTAGTGAAATATTTAACACAGAGTTTTGCAAGCATCTGGTGTGGGGTGTTTTTTTTTTTGTTGTTGGTTTTTTTTTTTTTTTTGGTGCTGTGTGTTCAGCTTCCCACTTGATACATGGCTGGATGTTGTGCTAGCTGATGTCAATGTGACCTGGTTAAGCTGACCGTGCCTTTTAGGGAAACTGGCACTTTGGTTTGCAGGACACGTTCTGGTAGCTGGGTCAGCTACTTGAAACCCAGAGATGGGGCTAGTGCAARGTTTTCTCAGAGGCTGGAGGGTGAACATCGGGCCAAGACACTGACCAGAACTTGGGTCTAAAAAATTAACAGCAGCTATCTGAAAACTGCACTGCYGTGATAAATTTGCTCAAATGATTTCTATAATGTCCTTTAGCAGGACTCCTGCCATCACTTTCATATGCTGTTCTCCTAAGAAAACTAGGGAAAAAATGTAATAAATGAGAATATTAAGAATATTTTGAAGCTAATGCACAACTGGCTGTGAAGAAGTACTAAAGGGGAAAAGGAGCAGGGAACTGACTGATGGCCAAAGAAAGAYGTAAAGTTGCAGACACTTGTTCTGTAGATATCTGTGTGCACGCAGGTTTTATCCTGCAGTAAGTGCAAGTTTGTTCCTCACAGGTAAGAGTCTGCATGCAGACTTTCACTGTGAATTTGCTGATATATTAGAAGTTCATGACCTTGCTTACATCAAAGTTGTGCATCTGTCTGTTTTGACCCTCTGAGCAGTTGTTAGTAGCTCACTGATAAATTAGTAGGATGAACCAGTTCCTGAGGGCTGTCTTARGTTAAGGATTGTTCAGCCTTTTAAATCTGAACTGGAATATAGAAAGCTAAGATGGAGTTTCAAGCACTTGGTATGTTAGGGTTTCAGTGCAACATTCACTTCATATATTTATAAAACATCAAGAAATCAATGAGGTGAGTGCAGTCACTACAGCTAGGAAGGAAAAAGGGAATCACAACGTGAGGCTTGGGAAAGGCTGGCAGCACAGCGCTGTGTGAAGGATCTGGCCACGATAGTGAGTTACAAGCTGATAACTTGTGAGTTGCCATATTATGCTTTCCCATCAAAGGCACATGCTGTTCTGGGCTCTCTTAAACAGTGTTGTAAAATGCTGAGAGGAACAACTGTATTTTGCTCAGCAGCAGGAAGATTGGAGTGACCTGCTGTCACACTAGACTTGAATTGTAAACAAGTGGGAGAGAGCTGAAAGACAGCAGCAAGAACAAAATGCTTCAAAGTCAATGACCAGGCACTGAAAAAAAAAAAAAAAAAAGTGGTTTATTCAGTTAAGGCAAGATAAAACTGACAGCAACCAAAACTGCAAATGCATGTTCTCCATGTCCACCAAGAAAAGAACAGTTCACAGAATCACACAGAATGGTGGAGGTTGGAAGAGATCTCTAGAGATCACCTAGTCCAACCCCTCTGCTCCAGCAGGGACACCCAGGGCAYGGGGCACAGGGCGGCATYCAGGCAGATTTTGAAGATCTCCAGAGCARGA